AAAGAGTGTTGAAAGAGTAAGAATGGGAAGAAAGATCTTATCTAACCATTTGACAAAGAAAATATTCTCATTACATGAAATTTTCAACAAGAGTCCAAATAAAATTAAGAGAAGAAAATCAAAATGATCCCCTGATAATTTATAAGGGATCAAAATGGGCCTCAATTATGTAGAAATCAAAAATGAACTAAAGGGAGTAAAAAGATTGGGAAATTTATATGAATATATTCCATGCAATTCTTATGAATTTACATATCTAAAATCTAAAGTTTCATGCTTATATTTATAACACTTTGTTCTCATAAATCTATGCATGAGAAAGTATATTTCACTTTTAAAAAATTCATAATTGTGGTGCTAAATTTTTTGGTGTTATAAATGTAAATATGAAAGTTTAAAAGTTAGATATGTAAATGCATAAGCATTGTGTGGTAAGTATGTAAATGCCCCTAAAAGATATTAAATCTTGAAGATAAATGAAGTTCATTAACCTTTTTTTCTCTTTTACCTAACAAGAAAATGCACAAAAAGCAATTACTCTTTTATGAATATAAGTAAAAAAGAGGCATTTACATACATACCAAACTATTCTTTTGTATTTACATATCTAACTCCTAAACTTTCATATTTACCAATAATGTATTATTTATGAATAAAAGCAAAGAAAATGTATTAGTTTACCAATAATGTAATTCAAGAGCATCAAAATGCTGTGCGAGCACAGTGAACCAGTAGAATCATTCTATATATGTCAAGTTCCTCGAGTTTTTTATTTGAAAGATTTATATATATACTATTCAATTCCTATGTATTTATATATCTAACACCTAAAGTTTCAATTTTTACATGCATGCCACCTTACCTATGTTTGTAACTGTATATTTCACTTTTTAAAAAGTTAAAAGGGTTAAATCTTCTATGTGATAAGAAAATTTTGGGTGGCATGGATGAAAAAGTAAAATTTGGGTTTAGATATGTAAATGCATAAGAATTAGGTGGTATTATGTAAATGTCCCATAAAATCACTTGCATCAATAACCTGCCAGACAAAGAATATGTATACGAAATGCCCGTTTAATTTGAGAAAGAGAAATGAATCACCTCAAATATTACTTCTCTGCCGAAGTTCAATCGAAGTAACTCATCAGCAGTGTGGATACAAGTTTCAATAAGACCCTGAGACAAGGACAAATTTACTAATCAAACCTCTTGAAAACATTGTTAAAAATCATTCAATATTAGGCGAAGAAACAGGCAAATTGCAATGATAAATTAATCATTGAACCAATAAATTGTCATATTCATATATAAAAGGAAAAACAAAGGCTCCACATGAAGGGACCCTCAACTAGTAAAAGATGACAAAAACATGTTTGCAAGAGAAAAGAAAGCTAAAAAAAATTTAGAAATATAGCAAAACATGAGAAATTCATGCACTTGAATATATGATTGAAAAGAGCTGTGTTTAAAATAACGAAGATTTACAAACATACCATGTAATTCTTATGTGATTACATGTCTAACACCTATACATCAATTTGTACAAATATATATATCTATCTATATATATATATATATATAAAATCCCAACAACCTCGTGCATAGAGTCAAATGACTATTTTTGCATTTTTCGCTTTTATTTAGATATGAAGGGGAATGTCTCACCTCGGCCAGACCACTCTCCACCAATAATTCCTTTCTCCTTACTAAAGCATCCTTCTTGCCACCCACAGCTAATTCTAAGGCCTTCGTAGAATCCCCATAAATATCGTCGTGAGTTGTTTTGGGTTCGCTATCTTTTTCTAATATCTTCTCCGGATCAGCTTCCACGAGCACCTCTTCCGCTTCCACGAGCACCTCTTCCGTCTCATCCTAAATTATAGTAAAGTTTAGACCCGCTTTATAGTTATATAACACTAACAAATATAGAAGTAGAAACAAATTGCCTGCGTGTAAAGAGAAGGCACGGTTGAATTAAGACAAGCCAAATCCTCGGGTGTAAAATAGCGGTGGCACTGTGGATGGAGCAACAGCAATAACGGACGCCTTCCATTCTGGCATTTCATAAGAAAAAAAAAACATTTTTAAAAACTATAAAGGAAGATTTACATGCATACCACTTAATTTCCATCAATGTACATCTCTAATACTTAAAAGTCTATTTTTACATATATATGTCGCCTTAATTATGCATGAAAAGGAGCATTTATCTCCTTAAAAATTAAAATAGCCGTATTTCTGATGTCATGTGAATATTTTTTTGTCATGTGAATATTTTTTTGACATATGAAATATTTGGGCAGCATGAATACAAAAATTAAAGTTTGTGTTAGATATGTAAAAATACATAGGAATTGGGTGGTGTGGTATGTATGTAAATGCGCCAACTATAAAACTACTACAAATTGAATTAACAGAGAGAACGATTTATATGAATCTACACCTTATCCAGAACAAGTTCTTTTAACATAGATTGTAGCTCACGCATGATAATCTGAAATTCAAAATGGAGGTTAAATATAGTCAATTTAGAAATTAGACATTGTGGAATGATATACTGACCTTTGTTACGAGTTTAGTGTCATCAACAACTGAAAGGATGGAGCAGAGCAGCTGTTGATATACAAAAATGCGAGTTTTACAAAGCAAACAGAAAAACATGGCAATAATCTTCAGATTAAAAAAAAAAATTGATGCAAAGAAAGAATTGTTTGAAAGAAAAAAAAAACAATGATAACCAAACATTAAACTTTACTAATATTTCATTGCATGAGCTAATAACATGTCCAATACTGAAAATAACTTTTGAGATATTTTCATAATTACACACATTGCACTCAAATAGCACTATTATCACTTTTTAAAAGTGAAATACATATTTTCATGCGTAGGTTTAAAGCGCGATGTATGTAAAAATGAAAGTTTCAGTATGAGATATGTAAATAAATAAGAATTGTGTGCTGCATAAGTAATTTTCCCTTTTAAAAAAAGTGTAATAATTAAGTATTAGCGTAAGTAAATTTCCCTTTTAAAAAAAGTGTAATAATTAAGTATTACAGAGTAAGAATGATTGTATTAAATATAAGGTAGTAGTAGCATCTATTGAAAAGTGTCAATCGCCATTAGGAAGGAATTCTATTCTTTCTTCAAAATATATTTCACTAATTGTGTTGTTTCTTTATTAGAATTTATTAGATATTTCAACATTTGTGTATCATCAGAATATGTCAAATAAGACAAAAGATTAGGGCATCTATTGAAGCTTCGGTATGCCTTACCCTACTCCTCAGTCGCTACATCTCTAACATCAACGATGATGGATCTATAGATATCTCTGACACCGTCACACGAAGCTTTCGTTCGACATTGTCATCTCCTCACGTACAATCGAGATTGTTGCTTCCTTTGACTTATCGTTTGGCTCTTCAACAACACAGAACTAATGATTTGTCTCGTTCTATCGATCGCAAGGTCATAGAGTTCATTTTCTCAAGCTCGTCCAACTCTTCCGCCTGAATATCATAGACAATCAGTTCGAACAGAGTGCTCTTTTGATCGAAGTCAACTCTTTTTATGTGGTTCGCTACAAAAATCGTACTTGTCTCTTCCTGCAACTTCACTACAGCAACACGACTAGTTGCTGTGAAATCACTCACTTGGCCCATCCTCTTCGGCCCACGGTAGCGAAAAGATCAAATCCTGCAATTGATTCTGTTACCCAAGCCATCCTCTAACGAGTCTCCGAATTATGCAGATTTGGTGCCCCGCGTTGTGCGGAAGGCGTGGAAATTAAGAGCTGAACACATTCCTCTAATTCATGTTTGCTCGTCTAGCCAAACAGTCGAACTAAGGGTCCTCTCACTTCTATTTGTGCAGCACGTCTTCAAGATTTGAGTTTTACAATCTTATCAAGGTTAAACACGACATGACATGCCCTTATAATCTTCTACCTCGGAAGTCACATCCATATTTGAGCCTACGTCTTCAGACCCTATCATATCTTACAACAATAATTCATAATTTAGCTCGTTCCTCAGAGAGCAAATTAAAGCATCGCAAAAAATGTTTAGTAATAGTTCTAATTATGGACAAGCATCACAATTCTCTATCGAGCAACCTATGTTTGTTATCACACCAATGTGTCTTATCACATGCATTTAGTGCCCAAAGCAATAAATTAAAACCTTGGATAGTTAATTCTAAAGCATTAGATCATATGATTGGAGAGATCAGCGTCTTAAAAAACAACTCATTTACCATTCATTCTTTAGTTCAAATAGTTGATGGTATATTCTTACCAGCAGCAGGAAATGAATTAGTTGAATTGGCAAAGGATCTTCCCCACTAGTCTGTGTTGTATGTTCCAAAATTAAATTGCAACCTACTCTCATTTAGCAAACTTGTGACCTAAAAAGTGTGAATAAATTTTAATCCAATTGTTTTGGCTTTCAGATTCTAAATTCAAGGAAGGTGATTAGCAATGTTGAGATGTATGATGGTCTATGCTTGCTCAAAGAAAATAACTACATCGGTAAGCAATGTCCAAGTCATAAGTCCAATTCAAATATTGGTTCAATTGAAAGTCAATTCATGTTGAGTCATCGTCATCTTGGTCATCCAAATTTTGCATACATGGTTTATTTATCACAAAAAACCTAATATTTATTAATGTGAAATTTGCCCATTTGAAAAATATATCAGACATGTATATTCCAAATTGTAATAGAAGTCTTCATAATAATTTTATGTAATTCACGGTTATATCTGAGGACCCTCACAAGTAAGCAATATGAATGAGGCACGATGGTTTAAATCATTCACAGGTGCTCACACAAGAACAACATGAACATTCCTTATGAAAGAAAAATCTGAAACAACCACTATATTTCAATAAAATTCAAACTCTTAAAACTATGATTCTCACTTGATTCCAAACAAAATTTTAAATTGTTAAAACTTAATGCTAAGGAATACTTTAATTTCATCATTAATGTTCTTTCCAAACATGGTACTATCCATATAACTTCTTGTATCAATACTCAACAAAATAAGATCGATGAAAAGAAAGAAAGAAACTTACTTGAGGTGGTCATTGCCATTATGTTGTTTAATCGTGTGGCTAATTATTTTTTGGGGGGAGCCACTCTAAAAACCACATACATCATCAATAAGATGCATAGTTGAGTCCTAAATTTTCAAATTCCTCATAATGTTCTCATGGAATTCTACACACACATTCGCTCTTTTTCTTCTAACATATCATTGTTCTGCCTTTGTTCACATCCATCAACAATATTTAACCAAAGTTGATCCAAAATCTCTCATATATATTTTCCTCAATTACTCATCCAATCAAAAAGGGTACAAATGCTATTCTCCAACTATTAATAAAATATATAACTTCATGGATATCACCTTCTTTGAGAATCAATCTTATCTTCCAAAATCTAAAATCCACGGAAAGGACTGGAGAATATCAGATTTGGGATTTTATTTGAAAGTTCTTCGTTCATTTTTCCTTTAACTGAACCAAATCATGTCCTCCACCTAACTCTACTCCATCTCAACCAGCTTCATTTGAAGAGTCAAACTCTATCACAAAAACAGTCCCAATTATCTCTAATCCAGTAACTCAACCTCAACATGACACTAATGACCAAGAATTTTGCGTTTAGACTAGAAGAAGTGTAACTGAGCAAGTAGATGACACTATGCAGACTGAGGATTGTCAAGAGTCAGAACCAAGTCCTCCTGATAATCATAACAGTATGAATTTCTCAACTCATGGCTCTCTTACAATGGTGGTTGATGACTTTAATCAACCAATTCAAGACAGAAAAGATATTTGAGGGAGTATTGGTCATCCAATTAAAAGATATGTGGCCTATGAAAAGTTGCTACCATCTTACAAAGCTTTTTTGACAAACCTTAATAATGTGCAGGTTCCCAACTATATCCATAAGACTCTAAGTTCCAACATAGAAGCACTCAGTTGAGGAAAAAATTTGAGCTCTAGAAAGATGACATGTAATAACCTCACTGAAAAAATCATGCATGTTGTAAATGGATATTCACAGTTAAAAACAAGAGTGATGGAAGTGCAGAGAGATTCAAAGTCAGACTAGTTGTCAAAAGCTTTATGCTGTCATATGAGATTGACTATCAAGAAACTTTAGCACCTGTTGCCAAATTTAATACAATTCAGATTTTACTCTATCTTGCAATAAATCAAGATTGACCTTTATACCAAATTTATGTCAAAAATGACTTCTTCAATTGTGACCTTGATGAAAAATTCTATATGACTATACCTTTGGGCTTAGAAAAGAAGTCGAACAACATATTGGATTGGAAGTTGAGAAAGTCCTTATACAACTTGAAGCAATCTCCTCATACTCAATTTAACAAATTTGCTAAAATAGTGATTAAAAATAAATATATCATTAATATCAAGCCGATCATTCATTATTTGTTAAATTCTAAAGGCAATTTGTTATTCTCATAGTATACGTAGATTATATTATCTTAACCGGTGATGATTCAGATGAAATTAGCATACTAAAAAGAATACTTGCAAAAGAATTTGAGAAGAAGGGTCTCGACAATCTCCGATATTTTATGGGAATGGAAATGGCTAGGTCTAAAGAAAGAATTTTCATATCTCAAAGTAAGTATATCTAGGACCTATTAAGTGAAGCTGACATACCTGGATGTAAACATGATGACACACCTATTTATTCAAACAAAAGGTCGAACAAAAGTGAAGAAAGCAATCCTGCTAAGACCTGATATTGCATGTTGCATTAGTGTAGCAAGGCATCATATGAAATCCAAATGAGAATCATTTAGAAGTCGTTAACAGAATCCTAAGATACTTAAAGATGGGCCCTGGATATGGTTTGCACTTCAAAAGATCTTAAAATTGTAAGATTGAGATATATACACATGCTAGCTTGTCAAAAGAGGTAACTAATAAGAAATCAACAACTGGATATTATTCATATGTCAAGGACAATCTCGTCACGTGGAGAAGTAAAAAAAGCTTGTTGTTTCTTAGAGTAGTGCAAAATCTGAATATCGCGCGCTTGCACTAGAAATATGTGAGGGAATGTGGATTCAAATGATCTTAAGGGAACTTAAGGTTAAGATGAAAGAACAATTAAGATGTTTAGTAATAGTCAAGCAGCTATTAGTATAGCCAAATATCTTATACATCATGACAGAACAAAACATATTGAAACTGACGGACGCTTCATCTCAAAATATGTTAACAATGGAATTGTTCAACTCAGCTATATTCCTACATGACTTCAGACTGCTGAAATTCCCACCAAAACACTACTACGGGTCAATCATGATGAATTGAAGTTCAAACTTGGTTTGTATAATATATACAACTCAGCTAAAGGGGGAGTATTGGAAAGTGTCAATCGGCATTAGGAATGAATTTATTTTCTTTCTCCAAAATATATTTAACTAATTGTGTTTCCTTATTAGATATTTCATTTTCGGGTTTTTCTTATTTGGAGGGATTGCTATTTAGTTTCATTTATTATTATTATTATTATTATTATTATT